GGGGGGCGGCAGGACAGAGCACTCCCAGCCCTGGCCTGTGCACACACTCCTGACAATGTGACCAGGTTTGTGCCAGCCTCGGCTAGTCCCTGCAAGGTCCAGTTTGTAAATGGGTTCATGCTGCAGTCTCTCAGGCCAGGCAGGGGGTGGGTGAGTCTGGCAGAGAAAGAGCCTCAGAACTATTCAGCATTACAATTGTTCTGCGAGTTTTCCCCATATCTGACTTCTTATGTACACTGAGACAGAAAGTGTATGGTTCCTGGGACAGCAAGGAAAGCTGATGAAATGCAAGAAAACCTGGAGTTTGGTGCTGTGATACCAAGGTACTGCGCTGATCAGTAGCAACGGCCAGTGTTGGTTGGTTGGTTGGTTCTGACAAACCCTGGTACACCATGTAAAGGCGTTGTTTTCATCAAGCACAAAGTTTTACTGACCGAGAAAATAGCACTGCTTAGAAGGGAGTTGCTGGTGGACTGTGAGTCCTTTTTGCATGTACCTGGGGTTCTGGCGGTCATTAACGCCGAGAGAGGAGGGAGCAAGTCGAAGCGGGGACTCTCAGGCATTGGGGGAGAGTTGGCAGTGGGTGGCACCTCCGTTGGGGAGGCAGGCTGTTCAGGCACACACTTGCCCTTGCCCTGTAGGGTGGCCCTACGTCAATTCCTCTGTGCTGTGCAGTCCCGACACTGGACAGCAGGTGGCTCTGTCCGTAGCGCTTATGGAATGGTCTCAGGACCGCAGCCAGCGCTGCTGCTGGCCCCGGGTGGACAGGGTGTGCGTGTGACCACATCCCGTGGCCTCCGCACAGTCTGACTGACCACCCCTGAGACTCCGCGCCCTGCATCTTCCAGGCTGTTTTCTAGCTCTGTTTTAATTTGTTTTCTCGAGATGGCTCATGCTTCCCACCTCCCACTCTCCAACAAATCTGGCTACAGTCAGGTTGTTCACGCTGTCCATCCTGGAGCAGCCCAGCTCTTTCCTGCCTCCTCCTGGCTAAACGGAGTCACTGTTTCTGAGTGCCACACAGGCACACATGATAGATGCATACATGTGGACACACTCATATAACCATGCACACACTGATGTACAGCCATACCTCTCACACAGACACTCACCGTGAGCCACAACCAGAGGTCCACACACTCACACACACAGATGCCTGCGTGTGGGCAGGCTCGTGTACAATCATACCTCTGTCTCTCTCACACACTGCACTTCCCTCACACCAGCACAGACACGCAGAAGACATGCAGAAGCACGCATGTACATGGCATGTGCACAAGCACGTGTGGCAGGCACCACTCTTCTCCCGGCTGGCATCTGCGCCAGCCCTGGCTCCTTGCGCTAAGCTCCCTGCTCTTGCCTTTTGCACTTAGTACCTGGCTTTGGCACTTTGCATCGCTAAGGACTTAGTGTGCTGGCTCACGCTGACCCTGCTTGGCAGCCCTCCTGGTCCCGTGCCCAGCGCGGGCACAGCCGAATCCAGGGCAAGGCCATGACTCACCTGTACATGACACGCTCCTGCCAGCTCTGAGCAGAACTTGTACTTCCTTATCTGATTAACGGGAAGCCAAGTTCTCTGTCAGGAGCCAGAGGACTGAACTCTATTACTGCAGGCAGATATGCCCCAGGTCCACGGGGATTGGTGCCAGGAGCCCCCACGGACGCCACTGTCCACAGGCGCACCCACATCCCCTGTGTCCTTGGAGGTATCGCTTGATTGCTCATCATGTATGCTATTCTGTACACATTCCACACCATTGCATGGCTTAGGGAACAATGACAAGGAAAATCCCTACATGGTATTGAAAGTTATTTATTTGGATTGGAAAGTCAGATTTACAGAGAAAAGGAGATACAGAAGGACCTTCCGTCTGCTGATTTACTCTGCAAGTGGCTGCAAAGGCCAGAGCTGAGCCAATTTGAAGCCAGGAGCCGGGAGTTTTCTCTGGATCTCCCATGCAGGCACAGGGTCCCAACACTTTGGGCCATGCTCGATTGCTTTCCCAGGCCACAAGCATGGAGCTGGATGGGAAGCAGGGCCACCGGGATTAGAACCGATGCCTATATGGGATCCCAGTGAATGCAAGGTGAGGACTTAAGCCACTAGGCTACTGCACCAGGCTCAAGATGACATTTTTTTGTTAGACATTTTTGCTCTGCTCTTGGTTGAGTTCCCGAATGTGAAGCCTGCAGACATGGAGTGCTGATGGTACTGCTGTCTCTATGCACTTTGCTCTTTAGACAGGTAACAAAGGAGGTGCATCGAGTTAGCTTGAGTTCTGGGAAGCAGCTTGGCAAGGTCTTAGACCAGCCTCGCTCAGAGGTCAGTGCCCTTGACCTTGAGTGCTAACTGTTGATCGGGGTGCAGCTGCTGTGCCTCTGTGTCAGGGTGACTAGATGGAATCAAATGTAGGTTTGTGGAGGTGAGTCCCATGGTGGAACACACACTGACCTGACTTCTCTTTTATTTGTTCACAGAATCTACTACTGGAGATTTTATTGGTAAGTATTTGGAAAAAATACAGCGTGCTATTTGGTACTTGACGTTTTTTGACCCGATACAGTTATCGGTAGCTTGAGAATAGTTGCTACCTTGAGCAACTTCAGTGGATGGTGTGAGAACTGCGTGGAGCCCGCTCGGCTTTCTCCCAGCTATAGCGTAAATGACCTACACGCTTCCAGTGTCCTGCAGTTTTATCTCTGAAACCGCAGTGCATGCCAGAACCAGCCAGAAAAGCTGTTTGAGAGCAGATTCTTGGGGTCCACCTCTGTTTCCCTACCCTGCCCTGGCTTGGAGGGTGGAGCTCAGGAATCTGCAGGTCTCTAGGACCACACTTGTGGGTGAGAAGCCATCCATTTACACCTTAGTGTTTGCAGTGTCAATAAGGAAGTGGCACTTGGCTGAGAATCCCCAATGACAGCGACAGGAGACATGCCCCCAGATTTGACATGCCGTCTATCTGTGTTGATTGTAATGAGTCACTGAGCACCTCTAATCCCACCCCACTGCTGTAATCTGCCAGCTCGGTGACTCTTAGCAAGATTGTGGGGGCACCAAGCCAAGACTGAGCCTCAGCGCCTTGTGACATGGCTGTAAGGTACAGCTGGAGCCAAGTTCTGTGCAATGATCTCTAATGGGAAGACCTTTGTTTTCTAAGATGAACTTGATTTCTTTATAGATCAGTGGAGCCCACACGCCACATATTATGGTTAAGACCTTCTCGTTCTTTCCTCCTCCTCTCAGGGTTTTGGTCAATGGCTGGTCTGGCCCATTCTGTTGCATTTGGCCAGTTGGGGCCGTAGAGAAATGCCTGCCTTATAGGATGCAGGGATAGAACAGGGATGAGGCATGCGGGTGCCAAGAACCTGGGCATAGTCCAGAGGCACACAAAGAATCTTATCTCTCGTTATCCCTCCTTCTCTCTGCTTCCTAGTCACACTTGAGATGAAATTAGCTTCAACTTGGTGTCAGGAGAGACAGTTTAAAGAGTCAATACTCTTCTCAATAGAAATGGCAGTCACTGATTCAGTAGTTACCAGCTGCCAAATACTTGTGATATATCCTTCACAAAATTATTTTCATTCATCAAATGACTAAATACATAGAACATTGAAAATACCACTGGATGTATCCTGTTATTATGAACTTTTCCCAACAATACTGCTTTATGCCCATTTTGCAAATAGGGCGTATTTCAGCAATTCAATGTATCTAGGTCTAAGGGCAGGTGGCTGGCAGCAAGGAAGAGAGCTGCACCCAAGACAAGGGCCTTCCCCCTGTCCACAACTTTCCCCGAAGAGCTCTTCCCACGGTCTGCAGTGAGCATGTGCCGACTTCTGTGTCCAGGTTTGGAATGTTAGGGACCTATGCATGTGCACTAAATACAGCCAACTCTGCTAGGGTTGAGGCTAGTTCCACCACTTCCAGGACAGTGGCTTGGAGTGAACAGGAGGGACAAAGAACAGGCTGAGGCAGAGGGATAGAAAGTTCTAGAAAAGGAGGCACCAGAAGAGGGCAACAAAGAGGCCTGAGGAGGCCCAGAATATACCTTTGGAAGAGCCTGGAGATGGTCCAGTTGCTTCTCCTTCCACTTTCTTTGCTTCTCCTCCCGTCCATGCAACACCAATGTCCCTCCTTACCCCCACCCAGTCCAACCTCTCACTCGCTGCCCGTGATTTCTTAAGATTTCAAGGTAACCATTGAAAAGCCTCAGCCAGGATCTGGCTTCCACAGGCTAGACCCCTGCAGATTCACGGCCTACATTTCTTACAGAACTAGCACAGCTTTTCACCAGTGGGTAACTTGGTGGCATCATGTTGGACAGGCAAATGGTGCCAATGAACTTCCCAGCTGTGGTCACTTCTACAGGGAGAATCTTCTCCCACAAGGGAGGTTGGCAGGGCAGGCAGGCCTGTTCATGGACAACAGCGTCCTGGACTTGACCCTGATGGAAGCTGGAGCATTTTGAACAGGGAAGTAACTTGAACACATCTGCGCTTTGGAAAGATAAAACTTGGAGGCTGCTGGGTAGCAAAATAAGCCCTACGGGCACTGGCATGGGCATGGAACCAGTACCCCTGAAGTGGGGTTGAGTCAATGGATGCAGATGGATTAGAAAAAGGAGAGGCAGCAGGAGATAAACTGGGTGGCCCTGGAGTTGGTCAGGCACAAGAGAATGAAGGTTGAACCTGGTGAAATGGGAGCAAAAGGCAACAATGACCTTGTGGGTAAAGCCAGAGGTGGAAGGAAGCATCACATACAACACTCAGATTTCCACCACAGTTGACACAAAGCCTGGGGTTGTGTTTGCAGACACCTAGGGGGGCATGGAAATGTTGCTCTGGACCTGGGGCTGGGCCAGGACCTGAGGCGTGGGTCTGGGTGTCTTCTGAGTCAAAGTACCCAGAGCCCCATGAGGTTCTCTAGGGAGCAAAGGGCAAGTGAGAAGAGAGCAAAGACACTGATACCCCAGGTCCCCAGGGGGAATTCATGGAAGGAGATGGCGGGTGGTGACCAGAGGCGGGGCAGGGGGAGGCGTGTGGCCATGCGAGTCAACGGGCAGTGACAGCAAAGACGAGGACTTCCCGCTGTGTCAATGCAGGTCTGCCTGTGAGGCTGGTGGACGGAGCCGACCAGTGCCAGGGCCGGGTGGAGGTCCTGTACCAAGGCTACTGGGGCACCGTGTGTGACGACAGCTGGGACAGCCAGGATGCAGATGTCGTCTGCCGACAGCTTGGCTGTGGCCATTCCGTGTCTGCCCTTGGAGGGGCTCACTTTGGTCAGGGCTCAGGGAACATTCTCTTGGGTGCTGTGGACTGCTCCGGACAGGAGCCCAATTTGTCAAGTTGCCCTCATGATGGGTGGTACAACCACGACTGTGGCCACAGGGAAGATGCCGGAGTCGTGTGTTCAGGTAGTGCATGTACTGCTTTGCGCTGTCACCTGTGTATGTCTGGGGGCAGGTGCTGGTCGAGTCAACACGGTGGCTCACACATGTGGGCATGCGTGCATGTGCATGGGCACACGCGAGCTTGGCTGCTCTCACTCTGCTGCAAGCCACGCCTCATTCGGGGTTAGAGCACAGGTGACTGGGTTTTTGCTCACGCACAGGTGCTCAGGTTCCGAGGTTCTAAGGGATCTGCCAGCTGTCCTGAAACTGGGAGGTGCCGGGCTCAGGTTTCAGTCTCAGCTGCTCACGTGGCCATCCCAGGAAGATTACACATTATCCTCTCAAGTGGTAGATGGGGATTAGAGTTCTTACATACTTAGGTATATACCAAGATCTAATCAAAGGCGACCGATATGTCTTCTTTATTGGCCACTAAATGACATGCAAACGGCACTCACACCCTCAGTGACAAAAATACAACTGTCCCTACCTCAGCTCTGGCAGCTCAGTGCTGTGCCTCTTACATTCATGTGCTGTTGGCAGATGCTCAAATTCCAATGGACCCCTTAATCCACAATGAATTCTCCAAGGTCACCAACCCTCTGCATTGACCCCAAGGAGGAGTTTCTGGGTAAGGTGTTCACTTTAAGGCACCCGCTGGCATGTGCAGCGTTGTGTGGACTAGACACTGTGCATGCTGCTACATACAGTAGGTGATCCCGATGCTTTCAGATGCCCCTGTCCCCATTACACACCCCACACAGGCACCTGCCCCTCCAAGGGAGCACACCCCACACTGACAGCTGTGAGTGGGCTCATTCTGCCATTCTGGAGTGTCTCTTTAGAATCCTTCAGTGATGGCCAATATGCCATTTGGCAGTATGTTTGAGCTGTCGAAGCAGTCAGACACCTTTGGAAGTTTGGCCTGGTGCCCGGGATGGGTCTGTTCATGAAGCCAAGGAGGTTGAGCAGGGTGACAGCACAGAGGATGCTCACAGGAGTTTGCTAGCATTGACCAGAGCCTGGCACAATCACAGAGACATGGTGTTGGATTTCAAAAGGAAAAGCCATAGCAATTTAGCCACAGAGGGGACCTTCAGGGTCTCTGTTCTGGCCCTTGCTTGCTTTAGCACTGAGGGTGTGAGGGTTACCAGAATTTAAAGGAGGGCTGACCTCCGACCCCTGCACTCTGCAGGTTCATTGCCTCCCACAGAGGCTCCTGAGGAGACAACGACAGAAGGTAACGTTTGTCATGAGGAATCCCTGTGGGCTCTTACGTGCATGTCCAACCCAGATGAGGAGTGGAGCACACGGGAGTTGTCCCCAGCTCCTCAGGATGGCCCTTCTGATTCAAGCCTCAGCCCTGAGCAGCAGACTCTTCCACGACTCATGTCCCTGAGATGGCACAGCCTGACCTGAAGAAGCTTCTCTCAGGTGGAGCCCGTGGCCTGGCACCAGGGTGTTCTGGAGCCCATGCTGGATCCCCCAGGCTTTTTACTGCTTCAGAACTCTGGCTGTCGGGCCTGGAGAGGCAGGTGAAATCTGCCCCATCTTTGCCATGCCCTTTCCCTGAGCCCATTCAGGCTTCCTGGGCTCACTTTCAACCTAGAGCTGTCAGGAAGGCGTCGGAGCCAGCTGGCGTGTCAAAGGTCCTGTATCCCACAGCCCCTCTCCCTCCCAGCTGCGGACACCCCAGGTGAAAGATTCAGGAGGGACAGTCAGTACAACCTGAGGTTCTGGAAGCCTGGGCTTTGGGAAGAGAAGTCACTTCCTGTTTCCCATGGGACAAGGTCAAGAACCACCTCCACCATGTTCCCTGGCCTGCCCTGGGGTGGACTGGCTGAGAAGCCTGCTGGCTGGTGCACCAGGCATTTCTGGTCCATGAAATGGTCCACGACCTCAACTTCCTCCTTCTCGCTATGAGTCAGGACTTAGATGTCAGTAGAGCTGAGGATGAATCTGGCTTTATTCTAATACCACTGTCTCCCTTACCACAGTTCCTACCCTTTCACCTTTACAAAAGTTGCAAGAGGAAAACCTATTCATTCTTCCATGGTGGTGTCTCCTTAGGACTTTGTTATGTATTAGAAAGAGCAGCTGGGCCAAACAAGGTCTTTGGTGCATGTGGGTCAACCAGGGACAGAAGCAAGGGGACAGGGAGATTTGACTAATCTCCATGTGTTACAAGGCACAATGGCACCATTTGTGCCTCAGTGCAGCCTGCACTGTCCCATTGCCATCCACTACCTGAGAGAGGGAGCCTTGGCAACTCAGCAGGCATGGGTGATCAGGCCCAGCTTGGTCTTTCCTGAACGTGTGTGGAGTTCGTCCTCTCGAGGGGGTGGTGTTCTCTGGCTGGGGTCCACGGTCAGCAGCCTTTGTTGGTGCTGACCCCAGGGCTGCCCATGGGTGCACCCAGGTATCCAGCTTCAGCTCATGGAGCTGGGACTTCTGCTCCATGTCCTGTCCCTCCCTTGCTCAAGGTCTAAGGTACACGGGTCGTGGGGGAAGCCGAGAAAGCCCCTTTGACGCATGTCTTAAATCTGGCTGGCCTTCTTATGTGTGTTGACATACATCTTTTTGTTTGTCTGCCTTTTCATGGTGACTTTCATGTCCCAGTTCAACTTGCCTTGACTTTCATCAACATGTACAGAAGCCTTTTCAGTTGGCCCTAGAAACCATAAAACCCACCAAATTTGGCGTATACATTTTTGTTTTGAAATCACATGTTGGGTTGGTCTCCTTGTGGCTTAATAGTGTGAGGTCTTCAGAGAAAGCGACAAGGGTTGCTTCTCTCTTGGACTCTTTGTAAAGCCAGGGGAGCACCCAGTCGGCCCTGTGTTTCCCAGCTGGGGAGTGTGCAGGCAAGGGTTTGTTGACACACTATTTCTCTTGACTTGACGTTTCATGTGAGAACCACAAGTTCTGAAACAAACGTGATTCCAAGAGTTCCTCTGCTCCACCAGGAAGAGGTCTTCCCTGAGGAATGTGGACTGCAAGCCAGGGATAGAGGAGAGCTGGAATGTCTGGTCTGAAATACTTAGGATGCATGATCTTGATTCCAGTATCAGGTTAGCACTGGCCAAGTCAAGCTGATGCTGCCTGCCCCTTGCTGACTTGGCTCCACCTAGTACTTGGATTTCAATGGTGGCCCATGGGTCATTGGCTACAGACACACCCTTTCAGGGAAGGGAAAATGTTTTGCTTGAGCAAAGAATATTCCATATGAGGAAAGCTAGAGGGACCAGTGATGTCTGGCTGTACAAGTGAGTGTGTGTCTTCAACAGACAGACAGGGAGCAAGAGACAGGACCTGGGGGAATCATTCCACCTGCTGCTCCAGAGTATTTTGTTCTTGGGTCTTATCCTTCAAGGCTAACTCCTGCCTTTCTTCCTGCTATTTACAGATGCATGGCCCAGCACATCCTTTTATGAAAATACATCAGGTGAGTGCTCCCCACCTGCCACGGGCTCGTTGCCTAGCTCTGAGTGAACACTGGACTTGCTGGCCACAAGACGAGGATGACAGTGGGTGGCTGGGTACAAGACCAGGTCTCTGAAGGATGAGTCCTTGAGGCTGTTGATTTTGTCCACTGGGATCCTGTGCAGGTGCTCAGGGAGGGTCCTGATAGGAAGGATGCTGGAGGCCTTGTTGATTGCATGTGACCTTGTCCTTGTGTCTGATGCCATGGATTTAGGATTACAGGAATGCAGAAAGGGTGTGAGGTGTACAATCTGGCCAAAATCCAGCTTCCATAGACACCTCCAGATGGGACCAGGCAAATATCCTAAAACTCTTCAGAACAAGAATGCAGTCTAATGCTGTTGTGTCTGCAGAGCTCCGTGCTGTGTGCCCAGAGCTGGAAGGCACAGTATTCCTATCATTGGCACTGTGCTTCTAGTCACTTCCCATACTGATGTGTCTTCAGATATGAGAGAATATGGTGTCCTGCTTTCTGTCACTAGAATGAAGAGAAATCCTGACAGGTCAAGGACAACAGCAGCTCTGGTGGCCTTGGCCATGGCAATCCCCTGAGTATGGAACATACCTTAGAGCTTTAGCCTCCAGATGGGGGAAGTGAACCATGCTCTGTTCCCTCTAGGTTACCCATCTGGTTTGGCCCTGAGGCTGGTGAATGGAGGACATCGGTGCCAAGGTCGAGTGGAGGTCTTGTACCAGGGCTCCTGGGGCACCGTGTGTGATGACAGCTGGGACATCAACGATGGCAACGTGGTCTGCAGGCAGCTGGGCTGTGGCTATGCTATATCTGCCCCTGGAAACGCCCGCTTCGGCCAGGGAACAGGATCGATTGTGCTGGACGACGTGTCCTGCACAGGACAGGAGTCGTACCTGTGGAGCTGCCAACACAGTGGCTGGCTCATCCACAACTGCGGACACGGGGAGGATGCAGGTGTCATCTGCTCAGGTGGGCCTCCAGATTCACTTAGGATGTGCTCTGATGTGAACCACTAACCCTGTCCCCACCATTTCATTCAGAGATCAGTGAGAACAGAGACCCATTGTGCGTGGTACTTGATTGAGCAGGCTGGCTACCACTAGTGACCCACCGAGCAGTCATGCTTGAGTCTGAAGGTGACTCAGGTATAGAGTGATGTGGTCAGGATCTGACCCATGCCGTAACAGTTGTCAGGATTTCCCTGGAAATGACACAAATACCAGGTTCTGTCCAGAATCCCCAGCAAGGAAACAAAAACAGAGTTTATACTGTTATTGCTGAACCTCAATTCCAAGGATGTGAGTATCCTTGTTGGGGTCAGGCTCTATGGGTAATGTGGCTGTGGCAGCATCTCCTCTCCTGGGTGGCTCCCATCTTGCGTGATCCTGCCACCCTATGTCCATCATGCCCTTAGGATTCCGGGAATCTGAGGCGGGGGGTGGGAAAGGACTCAGGAATGGCAGGTAGGAGGAGGTGCCCTGAGAGAGAGAGACAGGGTCCATGATGGAGCCCCATGACCTAGTGTTTCTCTAGGGTCCACATGGAATGTAGGCTGGCCCAGAAAGAGGCTGTTGTCTTGAGCAGCTTCCTGCTCGTCCCCTGGGTGTGTGCAGGTCCCCTGGGTGTCCCTGCAAAGGCGATGATATCATTGCAATGGAGGACATATGGGTGGGGGCAGCACTGAAGTGCCAGCTGTGGTGCGCATGTGCAAGGCAAAGATGCCTTTGAGATGAAAGGACTGGAGTGAGCATGTGGGGCACTCGTGTAGGGGGCATGAGGGCCATCATTGGTGAATGTGAATGACGCAGGACACTTACAGCATGTTTCCCAGGTGGAGAGCTGCATGCTAATGTCTCATGTTCTTCTCTTGGTCACAGATGCTTTGGCCACAACTGCAACTATTCCAAGTGAGTACACCATGTCCTTTTTGCAATGCTCCTACATATTCTGTCTCAGATATTGCAGATCAACACATGACTTTGAGGTGCCATAGTGCCAGGGGAAGAAAAGGTGGAAGGGATATTTCAGAACTTGTTCTAACCAGTCAGTTTAATGTACCTTTCCTATGTGACTTGCAACAGTACCCAAAGTTTGTTCCATAGTATGAGTGTGGAAATATGCAATTCATGGGATAGTAGACATGGAAGGAAGGACAGCAAAGGCAATAGCCTGAGGAGAGAATATTCTAAATATCCAGGACTTGAGGACCTAGGCGTGTCCAGCACAGGCTATGTCCAATGCCATGGCCATACTTGTGAGCTCAGGCTGCTAACAGACATGGAGAGGAAGGGGCAGGACCTGCTAAGGAACCACTGTTGAGACATCTGCCTGATCCAGAGAGATCCATCTTGGCTCTTTGGCTTCAGCTCTAACTCTTACCTTTCTCCCTGTTGCCTTTACAGCAACGTGGCCTTCCACGGCCCCAGATTTTACCACGACAGGTGAGTGTCCCGCCTTGCCAGGACTCACTGTGTCAACATGAAGGAACGCGAGGCTTGCTGATGACAGGATGAGGCCCCCAGTGGGCCCTCATTCACATTGCTGCTCTTTGGGTGGGTGAGAGCATGGGCCTCTGAAGACAGGTCCTTGAGGCTGGTGACCTTGTTCAGTGTGAACCTGTGCAGGTGCTCAGGCAAGGTCCCCATCACAGGTCCAGGATGGGAAACCTCAGTGATCACACGTGGGCTTTTTCTTACCTATGAGGCTGTGGATTGAGGGCTTACAGGAATAGGGAACAGGCTGTGATTTGCCAAGGCTGACCTGGGACTCTGCCAGACCTGGACAGTCCCCTACGGCTGTCCCCACGGTTCCTCCCATAGTCAGAGTGCACAGGTGCTGTGATGTGTGTACAGAGCTCTGTGCTGGGTGTGCACATGGCTGTTCCTGCCGATCCAGCTCCTGTCACAGCCTCAAGATCATGTGTGCTTTCACTAGCCTAGCATCCTGACCTGGGAGGACGTGGTGTCCTTGCTCCTGTCGCCGGAATGAAGAGAGATGTGGACAAGTATCAAAGGGTGACAGGGCATAACAGGTTGGATACCAGTAATGTCCTGATGAACACAATGTGCTTGAGACCTTCACTTCAAGACAGGAATGGTGATGTGTCCTTTGTTTTCCTCCAGTGGACATATCAAGTGTGGAAGTGAGAGTCGTGAGTGGATGTGAGTGGGTTCAGGGCCCAGGGCAGGTCCTGCATCAGGGCCCCTGTGTGTGATGATGTCACTGTGCCAGCTGATTGTATGCATGGAAGCTGTTTCTAGAAGCCCTTAGACAGACAGATGGTGGCTGTGAGGTGGGTGTTGAGTAGCTCCACTGGAGGGCTCTCCACTCACTCTAAGGCCGTAAGGAGTCTCTGGCTGCTTCCCAATGCCTTCTTGCTCTGGTGGTTGGTTTGTCCTTGTGACCCTAGGAGGTCCTCAGTGCACCTGAATGTGCCCTCCACCTGCAGAACTCTGCACCCTGTCTGCCTGTGGGATTGCTGCTCTGCGGGGTGTGCCCCTGGAGTTTACCTGGTCTCTGCCCAGCTATGCCATTGCCTGTGTTGGCTGGGTCATGTGCATTGTGTGGCCTTTAAGTGATCCATCTCTTCTGGCTTTTCTGACTTTCTCACCTTATTCTGCATCACCTAATCTGGTTCCCTGGTCATCGATAACTCTTGCAAGCTGAGAGAAATGTCAGTGGGCATTGGCCTTTTGGTATTGAAGGTGGACATGACCTTGCTGATTGTGGTGCACACCCTCTGACCCTCTGTTGGAGTCAGCGTTAGTTCAGGCATGATTTCTCTGTCTTTTGCCCCTTCAAATACGCTCAGATGTTCAGGGCGCTGTCTGCTTGGAGAAGAGGCTGAGGGCATGTCTGGAGGAGGGCAGGGAGTCTCCTGTGGGTGGCTCGTCCACTGCCCTTGTCTCCTGTGAGGATGTTGGGTGGGCAATAGTTGCGATGAGCCAGGTAGCACACTGACAGTGGGTGGATGGCTAAGGTGTTGTAGGTGAGAAGAGAACGTTGTGGGCTCAGAGAGATGGAGGGGCAACGTGGTCTCCATGGAACTTCAACGTTGCACTCCTTGTGAGCAGGAGTCTCCAGTGTGGCGGAAAAGCAGGAAGTGACTTTCTGTGTGTCTGTCTGTGTGGATGTTGCCTTGCATGAGGGACCTGACTCCTGGGAAGTGGTTTGGCCATTCACGAATGATAGAGGCTCAACTTGTTGTTGGCAAACAGCCTCAATGAGACCTGTCTGTGTTCCCTGTAGAGACTGATTTGGCCCTGAGGCTGGTGAATGGAGAGGACCAGTGCCAAGGTCGTGTGGAGGTCCTGTACCAGGGCTCCTGGGGCACCGTGTGTGATGACAGCTGGGACATCAACGATGGCAACGTGGTCTGCAGGCAGCTGGGCTGTGGCTATGCTGTGTCTGCCCCTGGAAACGCCCGCTTTGGCCAGGGCACAGGACCAATTGTGCTGGATGACGTGTCCTGCTCAGGGCAGGAGTCGTACCTATGGGACTGCAAACACCGTGGCTGGCTGTCCCACAACTGCGGACACGGGGAAGACGCAGGTGTTGTCTGCTCAGGTGGGCCTCTAGCTTCTCTTGGGATTTGCCCCGATTGGAACCCCTTAACTTGTTCCTACCACTTCATTTGGGGATCTCAACTAAGACCCATTGTGGCAGACCTTGCCAAGGGAAGCCAATTTCCATTGGTGATTCCACTAAGCTGTCGTGTTTTTGCCAACATGACTAGTGGCAACCGACCTTAGAAGCCACATCAGCCTCCCTATGTGACACTGGTGTAATCATCTTATGTCCAGTGTTTGGTAGTGGCTGCATTCCATAGGAAGTTGTGGGAGTGTAGAGTCTTTCTGGGTCCTCCTGGACGGAAAAGGAACAGAGAATTTTTCATTATTGTTGTTAACCCTCAGCAGTACTTCGCCACCCATGGGTGAGAGCATCCTGTTGGGGTCTAGCCCCATGGGTGCTGTGCTCTGCAGTATCTCTATCCCTTGGTGGCTCCTATTCTGGGTGCTACTGCAGCCCCACAGAGGAAAGCTGCCCATGTCCATCATGCCCTTAGGATTCCTGGGAACTGGGAGAAGGGAGTGGGAAAGGACAAAGGGAGGGCAGGCAGGAGATGCCCTGAGAGACAGACAGAGCTTATGACTGAGTTAACTAGTGTTTCTCGAAGCTCCACGTGGACCACAGGCTGCCCAGAAAGAGGCTGTTGTCTTGGGCAGCTTCCTGCTCGTCCCCTGGGTGTGTGCAGGTCCCCTGGGTGTCCCTGCAAAGGCGATGATATCATTGCAATGGAGGACATATGGGTGGAGGCAGCACTGAAGTGCCAGCTGTGGTGCGCATGTGCAAGGCAAAGATGCCATTGAGATGAAAGGACTGGAGTGAGCACGTGGGGCACCTGTGTAGTAGGACATGAGGCCATCATTGGTGAAGGTGAATGAGGCAGGACTCACACAGCATGTATCCCAGGTGACAGCTGCATGCTAATGTCTCATGTTCTTCTCTTTGTCACAGCTTCCTTGCCCACGACCACAACTCCACCAAGTGAGTATGCCCTGTCCTTCTCTACAATTCTCCTATTCTTTCAGACTCAAACGCTGCAAGTCTAATAGGATACTACAAGTGGCAGATAGTGACAGGTGACAGAAGAAGGGAAGGGATATTTGGCATCCTGTGGTGAGCCATCATTCGATGTCACTCATCCTAACATTAACTCAGGCATTTCCCAATACTTTGATCCCTAGTGTGTTGGTCGGTAGTGTTCTATGGGATATCAATGTATAAGTATTTTGGAAAGTGCAGACAAGATGTGATGTCATGGCAGAGAATATTCTAAATATCCAGGACTTGAGGACCTAGGAGTGTCCAGCAGAGGCTATGTCCAATGCCATGGCCATACTTGTGAGCTCAGGCTGCTAACAGACATGGAGAGGAGGGGCAGGACCTGCGAAGGAACCACTGTTGAGACATCTGCCTGATCCAGAGAGATCCATCTTGGCTCTTTGGCTTCAGCTCTAACTCTTACCTTTCTCCCTGTTGCCTTTACAGCAACGTGGCCTTCCACGACAACATCCACAGTTTTTACCACAACAGGTGAGTGTCCCGCCTTGCCAGGAATCACTGTGTCAACATGAAGGAATGCCAGGCTTGCTGATGACAGGATGAGGCCCCCAGTGGGCCCTCATTCACATTGCTGCTCTTTGGGTGGGTGAGAGCATGGGCCTCTGAAGACAGGTCCTTGAGGCTGGTGACCTTGTTCAGTGTGAACCTGTGCAGGTGCTCAGGCAAGGTCCCCATCACAGGTCCAGGATGGGAAACCTCAGTGATCACACGTGGGCTTTCTCTTGCCTATGAGGCTGTGGATTGAGGGCTTACAGGAATAGGGAACAGGCTGTGATTTGCCAAGGCTGACCTGGGACTCTGCCAGACCTGGACAGTCCCCTACGGCTGTCCCCACGGTTCCTCCCATAGTCAGAGTGCACAGGTGCTGTGATGTGTGTACAGAGCTCTGTGCTGGGTGTGCACATGGCTGTTCCTGCCGATCCAGCTCCTGTCACAGCCTCAAGATCATGTGTGCTTTCACTAGCCTAGCATCCTGACCTGGGAGGACGTGGTGTCCTTGCTCCTGTCGCCGGAATGAAGAGAGATGTGGACAAGTATCAAAGGGTGACAGGGCATAACAGGTTGGATACCAGTAATGTGCTGATGAACACAATGTGCTTGAGACCTTCACTTCAAGACAGGAATGGTGATGTGTCCTTTGTTTTCCTCCAGTGGACATATCAAGTGTGGAAGTGAGAGTCGTGAGTGGATGTGAGTGGGTTCAGGGCCCAGGGCAGGTCCTGCATCAGGGCCCCTGTGTGTGATGATGTCACTGTGCCAGCTGATTGTATGCATGGAAGCTGTTTCTAGAAGCCCTTAGACAGACAGATGGTGGCTGTGAGGTGGGTGTTGAGTAGCTCCACTGGAGGGCTCTCCACTCACTCTAAGGCCGTAAGGAGTCTCTGGCTGCTTCCCAGTGCCTTCTTGCTCTGGTGGTTGGTTTGTCCTTGTGACCCTAGGAGGTCCTCAGTGCACCTGAATGTGCCCTCCACCTGCAGAACTCTGCACCCTGTCTGCCTGTGGGATTGCTGCTCTGCGGGGTGTGCCCCTGGAGTTTACCTGGTCTCTGCCCAGCTATGCCATTGCCTGTGTTGGCTGGGTCATGTGCATTGTGTGGCCTTTAAGTGATCCATCTCTTCTGGCTTTTCTGACTTTCTCACCTTATTCTGCATCACCTAATCTGGTTTCCTGATCATCGACAACTCTTGCAAGCTGAGAGAAATGTCAGTGGGCATTGGCCTTTTGGTATTGAAGGTGGACATGACCTTGCTGATTGTGGTGCACACCCTCTGACCCTCTGTTGGAGTCAGCGTTAGTTCAGGCATGATTTCTCTGTCTTTTGCCCCTTCAAATACGCTCAGATGTTCAGGGCGCTGTCTGCTTGGAGAAGAGGCCGAGGGCATGTCTGGAGGAGGGCAGGGAGTCTCCTGTGGGTGGCTCGTCCACTGCCCTTGTCTCCTGTGAGGATGTTGGGTGGGCAGTAGGTTCTATGAGCCAGGTAGCACACTGACAGTGGGTGGATGGCTAAGGTGTTGTAGGTGAGAAGAGAACGTTGTGGGCTCAGAGAGATGGAGGGCAACGTGGTCTCCATGGAACTTCAACGTTGCACTCCTTGTGAACAGGAGTCTCCAGTGTGGCGGAGAAGCAGGAAGTGACTTTCTGTCTGTCTGTCTGTCTGTGTGGATGTTGCCTTGCATGAGGGACCTGACTCCTGGGAAGTGGTTTGGCCATTCATGAATCATAGAGGCTCAACTTGTTGTTGGCAAACAGCTTCCAATGAGACCTGTCTGTGTTCCCTGTAGAGACTGATTTGGCCCTGAGGCTGGTGAATGGAGGGGACCAGTGCCAAGGTCGTGTGGAGGTCCTGTACCAGGGCTCCTGGGGCACCGTGTGTGATGACAGCTGGGACATCTATGATGGCAACGTGGTCTGCAGGCAGCTGGGCTGTGGCTATGCTATGTCTGCCCCTGGAAACGCCCGCTTTGGCCAGGGCACAGGACCAATTGTGCTGGATGACGTGTCCTGCTCAGGGCAGGAGTCGTACCTATGGGACTGCGGGCACAATGGCTGGCTCATCCACAACTGCGGACACGGGGAGGATGCAGGTGTTATCTGCTCAGGTGGGTCCCTCGTTGTTGACTGCCTGTCTGTGAAGTGGTTCCGTCATGGCCCATGAACGTGAGAATCCATGTAACTAACTACTCTCAGTGCACCATTTGCTGGCCACATTCTCACTGCCGTCCTTGGTCCACACCTCGTGATTCTTGTGGTTCTGGGTTTGGCCCACGACCACATACCACGATATCAGTGTTGGATTGTGTAGATTGGAAGCACAGTCAGGTCAGCTGGTGCACTGTGTCCAGTGCTGAGGCTAACATTTTCTTGGAGTTAACTTGTTCACCAGGGATGTGCTAAGCTCTCCGGTTATGGAGGAGTTCTGCATGTAGTACCAGCTTTGTCCCAGCCTCCTTGTTGGGGTCTAGCCCCATGGGTGCTGTGCTCTGGCAGTATCTCATCTCCTTTGGTGGCTCCCACCCTGGCTGCTACTGCAGCCCCACAGAGGAAAGCTGCCATGTCCATCATGCCCTTAGGATTCCTGGGAACTGGGAGAGGGGAGTGGGAAAGGATGCAGGGATGACAGGTAGGAGGAGGTGCCCTGGGAGAGAGACAGGGTCCGTGATGGAGCCCCATGACCTAGTGTTTCTCTAGGGTCCACATGGAACGTAGGCTGGCCCAGAACGAGGCTGTTGTCTTGAGCAGCTTCCTGCTCGTCCCCTGGGTGTCCCTGCAAAGGTGATGATATCATTGCAATGGAGGACATATGGGTGGAGGCAGCACTGAAGTGCCAGCTGTGGCGGGCATGTGCAAGGCAAAGATGCCTTTGAGATGAAAGGACTGGAGTGAGCATGTGGGGCACCTGTGTAGTGGGGCATGAGGGCAATCATTGGTGAAGGTGAATGAGGCAGACTCGTACAGCATGTTTCCCAGGTGGACAGCTGCATGCTAATGTCTCATGTTCTTCTTTATGTGACAGGTCCCCCAACCACGACAACATCTCCACCAAGTGAGTATGCCCTGTCCTTCTCTACAATTCTCCTACTCTTTCAGACTCAAATACTGCAAGGCCTCATATGATTCTACAAGTGGCAGATAGTGACAGGTGACAGAAGAAGGGAAGGGATATTTGGCATCCTGTGGTGAGCCATCACTCAATGTCACTCTTCCTAACATTAACTCAGGCATTTCCCAATACTTTGATCCCTAGTGTGTTGGTCGGTAGTGTTCTATGGGATATCAGTGTACAAGTATTTTGGAAAGTTCAGACAAGATGTGATGTCATGGCAGAGAATATTCTAAATATCCAGGACTTGAGGACCTAGGAGTGTCCAGCAGAGGCTATGTCCAATGCCATGGCCATACTTGTGAGCTCAGACTGCTAACAGACACCGGGAGGAAGGGGCAGGACCTGCTAAGGAACCACTGTTGAGACATCTGCCTGATCCAGAGAGATCCATCTTGGCTCTTTGCCTTCAGCTCTAACTCTTACCTTTCTCCCTGTTGCCTTTACAGCAACGTGGCCTTCCACGACAACATCCACACATTTTACCACAACAGGTGAGTGTCCCGCCTTGCCAGGAATCACTGTGTCAACATGAAGGAATGCCAGGCTTGCTGATGACAGGATGAGGCCCCCAGTGGGCCCTCATTCACATTGCTGCTCTTTGGGTGGGTGAGAGCATGGGCCTCTGAAGACAGGTCCTTGAGGCTGGTGACCTTGTTCAGTGTGAACCTGTGCAGGTGCTCAGGCAAGGTCCCCATCACAGGTCCAGGATGGGAAACCTCAGTGATCACACGTGGGCTTTTTCTTGCCTATGAGGCTGTGGATTAAGGGCTTACAGGAATAGGGAACAGGCTGTGATTTGCCAAGGCTGACCTGGGACTCTGCCAGACCTGGACAGTCCCCTACGGCTGTCCCCACGGTTCCTCCTATAGTCAGAGTGCACAGGTGCTGTGATGTGTGTACAGAGCTCTGTGCTGGGTGTGCACATGGCTGTTCCTGCCGATCCAGCTCCTGTCACAGCCTCAAGATCATGTGTGCTTTCACTAGCCTAGCATCCTGACCTGGGAGGACGTGGTGTCCTTGCTCCTGTCGCCAGAATGAAGAGAGATGTGGACAAGTATCAAAGGGTGACAGGGCATAACAGGTTGGATACCAGTAATGTCCTGATGAACACAATGTGCTTGAAACCTTCACTTCAAGACAGGAATGGTGATGTGTCCTTTGTTTTCCTCCAGTGGACATATCAAGTGTGGAAGTGAGAGTCGTGAGTGGATGTGAGTGGGTTCAGGGCCCAGGGCAGGTCCTGCATCAGGGCCCCTGTGTGTGATGATGTCACTGTGCCAGCTGATTGTATGCATGGAAGCTGTTTCTAGAAGCCCTTAGACAGACAGATGGTGGCTGTGAGGTGGGTGTTGAGTAGCTCCACTGGAGGGCTCTCCACTCACTCTAAGGCCGTAAGGAGTCTCTGGCTGCTTCCCAATGCCTTCTTGCTCTGGTGGTTGGTTTGTCCTTGTGACCCTAGGAGGTCCTCAGTGCACCTGAATGTGCCCTCCACCTGCAGAACTCTGCACCCTGTCTGCCTGTGGGATTGCTGCTCTGCGGGGTGTGCCCCTGGAGTTTACCTGGTCTCTGCCCAGCTATGCCATTGCCTGTGTTGGCTGGGTCATGTGCATTGTGTGGCCTTTAAGTGATCCATCTCTTCTGGCTTTTCTGACTTTCTCACCTTATTCTGCATCACCTAATCTGGTTCCCTGGTCATCGATAACTCTTGCAAGCTGAGAGAAATGTCAGTGGGCATTGGCCTTTTGGTATTGAAGGTGGACATGACCTTGCTGATTGTGGTGCACACCCTCTGACCCTCTGTTGGAGTCAGCGTTAGTTCAGGCATGATTTCTCTGTCTTTTGCCCCTTCAAATACGCTCAGATGTTCAGGGCGCTGTCTGCTTGGAGAAGAGGCCGAGGGCATGTCTGGAGGAGGGCAGGGAGTCTCCTGTGGGTGGCTCCTCCACTGCCCTTGTCTCCTGTGAGGATGTTGGGTGGGCCGTAGGTTCCATGAGCCAGGTAGCACACTGACAGTGGGTGGATGGCTAAGGTGTTGTAGGTGAGAAGAGAACGTTGTGGGCTCAGAGAGATGGAGGGCAACGTGGTCTCCATGGAACCTCAGTGTTGCACTCCTTGTGAGCAGGAGTCTCCAGTGTGGCGGAGAAGCAGGAAGTGACTTTCTGTGTGTCTGTCTGTGTGGATGTTGCCCTGCATGAGGGACCTGACTCCTGGGAAGTGGTTTGGCCATTCATGAATCATAGAGGCTCAACTTGTTGTTGGCAAACAGCTTCCAATGAGACCTGTCTGTGTTCCCTGTAGAGACTGATTTGGCCCTGAGGCTGGTGAATGGAGGGGACCAGTGCCAAGGTCGTGTGGAGGTCCTGTACCAGGGCTCCTGGGGCACCGTGTGTGATGACAGCTGGGACATCTATGATGGCAACGTGGTCTGCAGGCAGCTGGGCTGTGGCTATGCTATGTCTGCCCCTGGAAATGCCCGCTTCGGCCAGGGCACAGGACCAATTGTGCTGGATGACGTGTCCTGCTCAGGGCAGGAGTCGTACCTATGGGACTGCGGGCACAATGGCTGGCTCATCCACAACTGCGGACACGGGGAGGATGCAGGTGTTATCTGCTCAGGTGGGTCCCTCGTTGTTGACTGCCTGTCTGTGAAGTGGTTCCGTCATGGCCCATGAACGTGAGAATCCATGTAACTAACTACTCTCAGTGCACCATTTGCTGGCCACATTCTCACTGCCGTCCTTGGTCCACACCTCGTGATTCTTGTGGTTCTGGGTTTGGCCCACGACCACATACCACGATATCAGTGTTGGATTGTGTAGATTGGAAGCACAGTCAGGTCAGCTGGTGCACTGTGTCCAGTGCTGAGGCTAACATTTTCTTGGAGTTAACTTGTTCACCAGGGATGTGCTAAGCTCTCCGGTTATGGAGGAGTTCTGCATGTAGTACCAGCTTTGTCCCAGCCTCCTTGTTGGGGTCTAGCCCCATGGGTGCTGTGCTCTGGCAGTATCTCATCTCCTTTGGTGGCTCCCACCCTGGCTGCTACTGCAGCCCCACAGAGGAAAGCTGCCCATGTCCATCATGCCCTTAGGATTCCTGGGAACTGGGAGAGGGGAGTGGGAAAGGATGCAGGGATGACAGGTAGGAGGAGGTGCCCTGGGAGAGAGACAGGGTCCGTGATGGAGCCCAATGACCTAGTGTTTCTCTAGGGTCCACATGGAACGTAGGCTGGCCCAGAACGAGGCTGTTGTCTTGAGCAGCTTCCTGCTCGTCCTCTGGGTGTCCCTGCAAAGGTGATGATATCATTGCAATGGAGGACATATGGGTGGAGGCAGCACTGAAGTGCCAGCTGTGGCGGGCATGTGCAAGGCAAAGATGCCTTTGAGATGAAAGGACTGGAGTGAGCACGTGGGGCACCTGTGTAGTGGGGCATGAGGGCAATCATTGGTGAAGGTGAATGAGGCAGACTCATACAGCATGTTTCCCAGGTGGACAGCTGCATGCTAATGTCTCATGTTCTTCTTTATGTGACAGGTCCCCCAAGCACGACAACATCTCCACCAAGTGAGTATGCCCTGTCCTTCTCTACAATTCTCCTACTCTTCCAGACTCAAATGCTACAGGTGGCAGATAGTGACAGGTGACAGAAGAAGGGAAGGGATATTTGGCATCTTTTGTTGAACAGTAAGTTGATGCTACCCTCCCCTCTCTGACTGGTGACATATGTAATGGTTTTCTGTGATGATTTTCCTAGGATCAGTCAGTACATAATGAACAAACAGAGCATGCAGAGTTGTTATGTCTGGGTAGAGAATGTTGCAAATGGCAAAGATTGGTGGGGTCATTGCATCCAGCAGGCCCTTTGTGCCATGGTTGAACCTTGAGCTCAGGCTGCTAACAGACACCAGAGGAATGAGCAGTACTTATGGAGGTTCTGCTGTTGATATACCAACCTGATTCAGAGAGCTGTAGATCTTGGCTGTTCCCTTTTAATCTAATTCTTGTTTTCTCCCTGTTGCCTTTACGTCAGCATCGCCTACTGTCATCATAGATTCTACCACGAGAAGTGAGTACTCCCCCATTTCTGTATGGCTATGAAGGACAGGATGAGTCTGCCATTGTGCTCTCATTGACATTGTTGGTGGTTTTGTGGGTGGGAGGATGGGTCTCTGAAAGATGAGTCTTTGAGGTTGGACACGTTGTTCAATGGGATCCTGTGCAGGTCCTTAGGAAGGTCCCCATCACATGTCCAGGATAGGAGCCCTTTTATCCCACATGACCTTGTTCTTAGGTCTGAGATCATGGACTTTAGGAATTACAGGTGTGGGAACACAGGGAATTAAGCACCATATGGCAAGGGACCAGCCAGATCTTGACAGTTCCATGAATGTGTCACCAAAAAGGGCCAAATGGACTTGTTGGGATACTGTGATGTCTGCAGAGAACTCTGTCCTGGGTGTGTCCACAGCTGACCCTGTTCGTTCAGTTCCTGTCACTGCCCCTGTGAGCATGCATCCTTACAACCGAACATCCTTGACCTGGGAGCTCCTGCCATCTCTCCTTCACTGGTGTTGAGAATGCAAGGAAACTAACTCTGATCTTTTCTTTGCAAGCAATTTCTTCTTATACTCTCAGCCCACCTCACATAGTAAGTTCTGAGAGCTAAGTCCGTGGCAGAGATATCAGGGGACCTCGTTGTTGTCCCTCTGTATCACTGGTGATGTAGACGGGTGGCCAGACTGACAAGAACTTGCTCCTGTACACACAGCGTCCCTGACCCTCTGTGGGTGGTCCAGGTCCAGGCCACCCCTGACTGGTCTTGTGCCTTGGGAATTGCCATTGTTGTGAGCTAAGTAACATCTGTTTTGTCCTGACAGCAGGTTATTCCTGTGGAGGCCTCCTGTCCCAATCCTCAGGGCGCTTTTCCAGCCCCTTCTATCCTGGGAACTATCCAAACAATGCTAGATGTGTGTGGGATATTGAGGTTCCAAACAACTACCAAGTGACTGTGACCTTCAGCGATGTCCAGTAAGTGCGCAAGTGCAGAGCAGCTTACCTCGGGGACCATGCACCTTCCCCTGCAAAGCGGAAGAGGTGGGAGGGGCAGCTGTCTGGATGACCTGCTTCCATCACTGGGGTGATTTCTGATCAAGCAGAGGATGCCCATGGATGGGAGAGGATGGCTACTGATGGGGTCAGGCTTCTCCTCCTCTAGTTACAAGTGGAAATCATCACTCTAAGTAAGGGAAACATCACCAAAAGCAAAATGGGCCGGTGGCCACGCTGACCACAGAGACTCCTGGGTTTTCTAGTGGCCTGGACAAGGAGTGAGGTGGGTGGTGCCATGATTTCATTGCTGAACAAAACCATCTCTTCTCTTGGTTTGTGTTTGCAGTGGCCCTAGAAGTCTCTGTCTTAGTTGTCCACCTGGGGAGTTTCACAAAGGACATGCTCTTTTGATTTCCTTGGGATTATAATACAAGGACTAACACTTGATGAAACTCTATGGGAAGAGTTTGGTTGCATGAAGCCAAGACTGCATGTTCTGTTTTGCAGGCTGGAAAGCGGCTGTAGGCATGATTACATCGAAGTCTTTGATGGCCCCCACCGCAGTTCCCCTCTCATCGCTCGTGTTTGCGACGGGGTCCGGGGCTCCTTCACCTCATCCTCAAACTTCCTGTCCATTCGTTTCATCAGCGATGGCAGTGTCACCAGGAGAGGGTTCCAGGTGGAGTTTTACTCCACCCGCTCTAATGAAAGCACCAGTGAGTCCCCCGAGGGGAGGCATGGGTCACAGTGGCGATGTCTTTGAGTGTCCTGATGCTTGGTCTGCTTGAGGCTGGGGAATAAGAAAGTAGAGTAGCCATGTTGGATCACCTGCTGAAAGGGACCTGGAACAGTGTGCCCTCGTTCACTGGCTGCACAGGGAGGGGTCAAGGACCAGCTGACGGACAGTACCTCAGCCTCAGTGTGGTCAGCAAAGAACCAATAGACAACACAGGACGGTGCTCTTGTCAACTAATTAGAATACTGTCACAGGCAGAGTTGACCAACTGGCTTGAAGCCCTGTGGACTTTGCAGAATACGGACACTGGCCATGTCCTGAGACCCAAGATGCTTGGCTTCTATCTGAAGGCAGGCAGGGCAGACTCCTCAACCTCTCCCAGCAGATGCCATGGGCACTGTTTGAGCTGTCATGTGGACTGAGCATAGATCAATCAAGGGCTGGGCAGGGTGACATCCAAACTCTCACATAGTCAGGATTTGAGGAACTGACATGCCCCATAGCTAGGTGACCTTATTTCATGACCTCTTTCATAATTTGTGACAGAGTTCCTGTATTTTACTAATAAACATTACCTTGTCGAAGCATTCCCATTATTTAACATCTACATCAGAGAAACTCCATGTGTTCCCCAGCTGGGCTTGCATGAGGCTGGGGCTGCCCTGAGCTATGGTGGCAGAGTGGCAGCAAGGTAGAGCCTCTGCATCCATCCCACCTGCTGGTCATCCCATTCAGCCATCTTCATGCAAGCATCTTTAGGTGGGAGGAGCTCCCAGCAGGATTTGCATGGCTTGGGGGCACTAAATACACTTTCTGCTCTTGTCCATCAGGCCTGCTTTGTCTGAACAATCACATGCAAGCCAGCGTGAGCATATCCTACCTCCAATCCCTGGGTTACTCTGCCTGGGACCTTAACATAGCTGCCCAGAACGTGAGCTACCAGTGTCGGCGTGAGATCACGGCAAGCCAGGTCATCTTCACGATTCCCTACACTGGTTGTGGCACCATCAAGCAGGTAAGCCAGGGTCTTCCTACTCTGTTTCCTAGCTGCCAGACTTCCTTACAGTGGCCCAGGCCTCTGGGGTTCAAGTTACGATGCTGGTGTCATCAGGATACAAGTCTTGGACACCGTGATGTGGCATTTCAATAGGAGGGAGCAGAAGGAAGCTGAGCAGACTGAACTCATCTGGCTGGGTCCAGCAGTGAGGACACTCACAGGCTGCCCCCCGCATCAGTGAAGGCATAAACAGCCCCTGGTGTAGTTCTGAATCTGTGGAGTTTGAAGCGTTTCTGCTTCGTCATTAGGGAAGGTGAGGAGAGGAGCACCACTAAGCCATCGTTTGTAACTTTGACATGAATACGTCTGTGCAAGCATGTTGCTCAGCCCTGGAGGAGGCCAGTGCACAGGGAAGGTCCTCAGGTTTAAGTTTTTGGGGAGCATGGTAAATCGTCCTGTGCACTGACCACTGTGAACTGTCACCACCTCGGGTGACCAACTGTCTGGGTGGATTTGTTTTTAAGATTCATTTGTTTATTTTGAAAGTGAGAGAGAGATGGGTGGGAGATGGGGGGTGGGCAGAGCGAGATAGAGATTGAGAGATCTTCCATTTGCTGGCTGATCATGAACTGAATCAATGGGAGTCAGTCTGGGATCATGTTGCTCCCTGTTCCACTCATGTGTCCTATGGTCACTGACATCTGAGTGACCCTGGTGCGGGGAACAGCCAAACCATGCAGCTGTCCTGCCTCCTCTGCCTTCACTGGACGTGGGCAGCATGCACTGTGGTCTCCTTTCTCTGCTTATGTGAACACCCACATTGCCCACCAAAGGAAGCATCTTGAGGAGCAGGGCCAGTGTTTCACTCATTTCTGCAACTCTGAGTGCTCCTGGGCCAGAGCCTCAGACTTCATAATGGTGTGAGCAGCAGCTAACAGCTGTGCCAGCACTGAGCTGACACTCTTGGGTCTCTGCAAGTCTTTGCATAGATCTGTTCCCTTTTTATTACAAACAAACGCAAGCTTGGAAAGGTGAGCCACCTGCCCAAGACCACATATTCACAAACTGCAAAGCCAGGATAGGAGAGTGAGCTTTCCTGAGAAGGACAGGGACCCCAGGCCCAGCCTGTGTGGGTCAGCCCCTGCAAGATTCCCTGCAACCCAGCCTGCAGGTGCCTGGGAACAAGCATTCATCCAGAACCAGAATTGCTCTGGTTAAGACGGGAATTGCATTGCATGCTCACGGCTTGGAACAGAGTCAGAATTGAGCTTGAGCTTGACCACAAAACACAGCAGAGAATGTCCTTGTTCTTGTACAGACTCTAACTGAAGGCACTTGAACTTGACTTGTAAAGAGTAAGAAGGTGATGAAAGTTACTTGGTTTATAAAGCCGAAAACATTTCTTAGAGTTCAGAGCCAGAAGCAGAACTGCTCCTCCAAGGACAAGGAAACTGTTGAGTCCACCACCAGAGTTCCTCCCCAGACCTTGGCCCTCTGCGTAGGCTGTTGCACACCCCAGGAGGCCGGGCTGACCTTGACCCGGGGCCCCGGTCCAGCCTGGGAAGCTGATGGTCAGAGAGATGAGGGTGGTAGTCAGGAGCACCGAGGCCACCTTGCGTCTCCTGTAGAGGTTTCACTTTTCTCAAGTTTTGGGAAAGGACACTCTCAGAGCTCTGCAAGTGCAGGAAGCTGCAGAAGCTCGCTCCCTCCCCCAACACATTCCATCCTGAGGAATAGTTGTGTTTGGGTTGACCAGGTGCCAGCCTCAGAAGGAGCCTTGGTTCACTCACCCAGACAGCGAGGAATGCAGCTCTGCCCTTGGCAGTGTTCATAACTAGCATGCCAGGCTTCTCTTTTGCTTTATTTTTCTTTTCCTTTTTTCTTTTTCTTTCTTTTCCTTTTTCCTTTTTCTTTTTTCTCTCTCTCTTTCTTTCTTTCTTCTTCTTTCTCTGTCTCTTTAATCATAATGTCCTTTAGGACTTTAAAAAATATTTGTTTTATTTTATTGGAAAGTCAGATATACAAAGAGGAAGACAGAGAGGAAGATCTCCCATCCATTGATTCACTTACTCCCCAAGTGGCTGCAGTGGCTGGAGCTGCACTGATCTGAAGCCAGAGTCCTGTGGGTGCAGGGTCCCAAGGCTTTGGGCCATCCTTGACTGCCTTCCCAGGCCACAAGCAAGGAGCTGAATGGGGAGCGGGGCTGCCGGGATTAGAACTCGCACCCATATGGGATCCTAGCACATGCAAAGCAAGGACCTTAGCCACTGGCTACTGTGCCGGGCCCAGGACTTTTGTTTCTTGTGATGCTATTTCATCACCCATCCGACACAAGCATCAGTGTATGCTGGACTTGTACATTGCCTGGCTGGGAGAAGTTTGCTTCTGGGCATCGTAGCATCTGGGAGGGGGATGATTCTAACTGTGTCCCAGCTGACACCCCTCTTTGGAGTCTTGTTGCTTCGGGGGACCTTGTCCATCTGCATCCTTTCTCCAGCAGGATTATTCCAGGCTTGTCCTCCATTCTGTGTAGTCCTTCTGCCAGGCCCTCGCCCCTGTAGCTTTGTTCACTCCCTGAACTCTTTGAGATACCAGTGACACTGCTGGTCGCATCATGCTTAGCCTTATGGTGAGGCAGGAGCTCAGTCCTGCAGCCTTGGAAGGCCACTCTCAAGTGGTGATGGACACATTGGAAGGAGAGGGGGCCAAGAATTGGCTGCTTGGCGAAAAGTCCAGTAGCAAATGGTTCCACTGCAATGGACACGGGAATGTGCGGGAATTGCTTCTGTGTGGCCACATAAGCTGGGGAAGGCCCCATCCCGGCATCAAGACCTACTGCAGGTACAACTGTGGATCTCCATGGCTTCCGGCTCTGGTGGCTTCAGATGCTGAGTTGCCACAGCTACCAATCAGTCACAATCAAAGCAACAAACAGTGACTACCGAATCCTCCATCCCTGCCCCCCACCCCTATACACACATGTGTGGGAATGTCTCTCCTAGAATCCCTAACAACAATGAGGATGTAGCCAGCCAGAAAGACTGTTAGTGCAGAATGAAAGTCAGTGCATCAAGTGGCAGGTCCACGGCCATATAGAACACCCATTTTCCATAAAAGTTCCTCCAGCTGGCCCATACTGGTCCCATTCCCTGGTAGAGGGCACAGGGGAGAGGGGAAGGAGAAGCTCTTAAGCCATACACCCAGCTGGGTCCTAGCAACCACGGATCATCCCACCCTGTGTGGTTGCAGGAGGGTCTTGGGGTCTGGTGGGGTCCACGTCCTCTTGTGCTATCCTGATCGGCAATGAGGTTCCCTTAGTGAGTGATGTTTGCCTGACCCCACTCTCCCACTGGCCTCTCCCAGGTGGACAACGACACCATCATCTACTCCAACTTCCTCAGTGCAGTTGTTTCCAGTGGGATCATCAAGAGGAAGAAGGACCTGCACATCCACATGAGCTGCAAGATGCTGCAGGACACCTGGGTGAACAGCATGTACATCACCAATGACACCGTCGAGCTCCAGGAGATCCAGTATGGCAACTTCAACATGAACGTCTCCTTCTACACGTCCTCCTCCTTCCAGTACCCCGTGAACAGTCACCCCTACTATGTGGACCTGGACCAGAATCTCTACCTGCAGGCGCAAGTCATCCATCCGGATGCCTCCCTGTCCTTATTTGTGGACACATGTGAGGCATCACCAACCTACAACTTCTCATCCGTGACGTACGACCTAATCCGGAGTGGGTAAGAGCTGTCTTTCCTTCCCAGCTAACCCTTCCCCTGAGAACTGCAGCATGGGGTTCACTGAAGTTCCAAATGTTCAAGCTTAGCTAGCTCGCCTGCTGCGCGTATCCCCTTCCTGTGACTTGCTTTTTGAGAAACTTTCTAGGTCCTGGGACCATGTTGCCGATTAGCAGGGCAGTGTGGTCTGTGGGTCCTCTCCAGCAAACACATGGAATGAATGGTAGCTGGAGAATTGGACCCCTAATCTGTGTTCATCCAGCAAATTGAGTTAGTAACTTAAGCTGAATTATACTCCAAGTGATCATAACCTAGCTTTAGAGTTAAAAGGACTCAAATGAAGGAAGAAACCAGGGTAGAAAATCCAAGTCTCACTGCGTTACCCCTCTGGGCCAGTTCCCTCACCCATCAGCAGGCACTAGGGGTGCCCACACCATGAGGGCACTGGAGCACAAGATGAGGTGCTGGGCAGAGTGTACACTGCAGCAAGGGTACAGAGAATGCTGTCTGGGCACAGAGTGTGCACCGCAGGAGGTCTTATGACCTTCATTGCCCAGGAATGCAGTCTCATGATCTCTGGTTCCTACTGGACCCGAGGGGGCAGAGAGCAGACCAGTGGTGTTGAGGTGGGGCTCTGATGGGGCCCAGCCTGGGCTGCCCTCCTTGGAGCAGCCCTCGGGTGAGGTGGTTGGACTTGAAGGGTCCCTGGGACGCCAGGGTGTATGAGTCTTTTCCCCATTCTGTAGCTCCTGGCCAGGGTGCCTGGCATTTCTTGGCTTTATGCTATAGACCCAGCATCTCAGTAGCTGCTGTCTCCCAGAAGAAGTTATGGTGATAGAGTAAAGGGTTCTAGGTCATTATCTCTGCATCTAGCTGGAACACCACTGCCATCATAAAGTAGCATTTTGGTAAGCACTGATCGAATGTGTGCTGGTTCAGTGGACAGGCTTGGTGGAAGCTGGTCCCACACTGACCATGGAGTTGGTCCAGGTCACAGCAGCCCCCTAGGCAGCACTCTCCCTGCCCCTTCTGTCACACCACGGGAAATCCCACCCTAGTGAGCACAGGTGGGTGCTATCTCGCCCACCACAGTGAGCACAGGTGGGTGGGTGCTATCTCGCCCACTACAGTGAGGGGCCAGAGGGGAGGAGGAGTTCAGCCGGCCGTGTGGGAAGTGCAGGCTGGGGTGGCTCAGCAGAGAGGAGCCTGGAAGAAGATGCTGGGACACAAGAGCAACCAAAGGAGCCCAGAGACCAGGAAGAGAGGCAAAGTCATCTCACCACTCCAGTCTCTTGGCATTAGTCCTGGCTGCCTCCCAGACTCACCAGGTCCTTGAGCACCCAGTCATTGTGGGATCACCCTGACCCAACTGTGCTTGTCCACCTGGGAACGCTGGAGGCATTTGTGGCTTTCAGAGTCTACCCCATAGAGGGCACTGATCTGTTGTACAACCGGGGTGTGCCCAGGGCCCCCTCACCTGGAGCCCCTGAGTGACCCACACAGGAAGGACCTCGCAGAGAGCCAACGGCCACTCTTCTTCCATTGCAGGTGCGTGAGGGATGAAACCTACCAAACCTACTCTGTGCCGTCACCCCACATCGTGCGCTTCAGGTTCCGTTCCTTCCACTTCCTGAACCGCTTCCCGTCTGTTTACCTGCGCTGTAAGATGGTGGTATGCAGGGCCTACGACTACTCCTCACGGTGCTACCAGGGCTGCGTGGTACGATCCAAAAGAGCTGTGAGTTCTTACCAGGAAAAGGTCGACGTCGTCCTGGGACCCATCCAGCTGCTGGAGCCTCAAGCCGCCAGGAAGAAGGGCCTGGAGTAGGGGGGTGCCCAGAGACCCTGCCTCTTTCTGTCATTCCATCCAATCACAGAGCACCTGCTGCGTGCCAGCCTACACCAATTGGATTTGACCCGCTTCTTGCCTTTGTCTAAGGCGTGGTCAAGAGAGTTCTAGCCTGGGAAATGCCTGGACTTACCCTTTCCGCTCTAGGAGTTCACAGCCCAGGCTGTGCACTGTACAGTGGAAATGTTGAGATAAATAAAGTGTTGTTAGTTCAATCGCCTTGGCCCCTGCCCAGTGCAGGCCGTTGCGTGCTCAATGAATGAGCCTTCTGCTCCCGCTGCTCTTGTCTCCGCAGCAAGGTCAGGCCAAGCCTGTTCCTCAGGGGGTCGGGGCAGCAAATTCTCATGCCTGGTGTGCTGGTGTAAGGGTCTGGGGGGCCCAAGGGCCACAGGCAGCTCCTATCTCAGTTGTTGACCAGCCCTGCCCAGTCATCTCACTTTCTCCATTGAGCCCAGGACCTTGTTGTGGGTGTGGGTGAGACCTTGCAGGCCTTCTGGGTGAGGCTGGAGCCATGGTGGGGTGGGAGGCGGACAGGGCCAGATTGGCATCCGAGCCTCTGCCAGATGCCAGCTGTGGTGGCCTCTGATGGCTCTTGCCTTGGGCTGCAGTTAGACCTCCCCCTAAGCCAGCCTAGTGTAGACAGTTCCTTCCTCATTGTCTTACTCAGAGCACAGTTATTGAAGGACTATTCTGTCCCTGTATGCAGCTGAGTAAACAGACCTGGATCAGAGCCCTGGACCTGCAGCGGGAGGGGTCACAATGAGGCCAGGGCAGGTGCATCTGTGGGAGGCTGAGTGAGCCATGGAGAACAGGACAGCAGGCTGGCTGTGCCCTCAGCTCTCCCTCCCTTCCATACTCCTGTAGTTTCTATAGCAGCCCATGTCCTGGCCACCTCTTTCCTGGGCCCTTGAAGCCCTTCCCCAGCTGGATGCCTCCATTCTCTCCCAGAGATGTAGGCCAAACTCTATCCTTGAAGCCCTGCCCATCTGAAAACTTTCCACCCACAGTCAGCTGCCCCTCAGGCCTGCTCCTGTGTCCCATTGGGCACTGCCCTCTCTCAGTTTCTCAGCCCTTCCTAGCAAGCAGCTCTGGGCTTTAGTCCCACACCAGGAGCCACCACCCCTTCTTCCCTCCCTTCCCCTCATTCCCTGGCGTTGGTCCTTGTCCCAATTCCATCACTATCAACACCTCTCTCCACCCCCAGGCTTGGCAGTGGCCGACAAGGTGCCCAGGTAGCTCCCAGGAGAGCTTTCACAGCACTGTCACCTCTGTAGGGGGCTCCCTGGTCAGGGTCCTGGCGACAACATACTTCAGGCTGGGGAGGAGCATGCAGACTGCTCAGAGGCAGGCCCTGAGCTCTGGGATATGAAGCTGAGAGAGCAAGCTTGACACTGACCCTTGGTGGTCAGGTACCTGAGAGAGCATGGGAGTGTAGAGGGTGGCTGGCGCCTGTGGACCTCAGCACAGGTGTGTGGTGGGGTGAGGTGAGCTGGGTGGGGGAGAGGAGAACACAGGAAGGGTGAAAGTATCCAAAATCCCACATTCAGTTGTGACTCCGACAGCAGCAGCGGTAGAGGTTTCTCTGGAGGGCGGTTCCTTGAGGGCCTGAGAGCAGTCAGCATCCCAGGCCCACAGTAGAGTCCTGTTGCCATGCTGGAGCAAATCCATGAGGGATCCCTTTGTAGCAATGTGGTCAGGGTTACCAGGGCTCGCCTTCCTACTGGGTCCCTTCAGATGAAGGAGAGGGCGATGGAGATGGGGTGTCTGAGGGAAGGGTGGAGGGCATGGGGGCTCCACCCTTGGGCTTCCAGAACCTTCCAGGGAATTGACAGTGTTTCTTTCCAATGTCCTTGGCATGTTTGGGCTCAGGATATGAGCAAGAGTGATTAGTGGAAGACAAGAATGCTAACCACATCATGATTTTCAGTGTCTGTGGCTTATATTTTATTTAGTCATTTTAATCTGTTTGAAAGAACCACACAGCAGGCAGAAAGAGAGTTTTTTTTAAATTCAGTAGTTCACCCCTCCAAGTGCCTGCAACAGCCAGGGCTGGGCCAAGCCAAAGTCCAGAACTCATTCTGGGTCTCCCACATGCATGGATGTGAAGTATTTGGCCACCACCTGTGGCCTCCCAGCGTGTGCATTAGTGGGAAGCTGGAGCTGGAAGCCAGGCACTTGGATCGAAAGCATGGGCATCCCAAGCAGTGTCTTAGCCATTGCCCCAAAGTCCCCAGCTGCGTGATGTGGAGTGATTGTGATGTAAGAGTGCCCTCTTGCTATGAGAGAACCTGCCATGCAGGGGACGCTGGGTAAACTCCCACTGGGTCTCACTATGAGAGCCCACTTCCTGGCACTGTGTGGGTAGGGCATTATCAGTCTCTCCATGAAGATATGGTCCCGGAGGCTCAGAACGGGGAAGGGAGTGCAGAATAGTTCCAAGAGGTCAGCAAGACCTAACCCCAACCCTGGGGAAGCTGGGACTGTCTGACTCACTCACCTCAGGAGCCGAGCTTCCCTCCTTCCTCTCCCATCATCCCCAGGGCACCGTGAGCCCAGGAGACCATGGCTTGTCCTAAATCTGCACGCTAGTGCCTAGGACACACTGCTGTGGGTGTGTCAGACACACACCCCATAGGGCATTGGAGCTGGTGCCACAGGAGGGCTTGCAGAATTACTGTGGCATCTACACCACATGTGCTCTCAACTTGGGCCCTTGGCGCAGTTCCCTTTACCCCGAGGGAGTTGCCCTCCTCCCAGCCCCTGCACTTGCAGGACTGGCACAGAGCCGTGAGCTTGTGCTGGACTCTGCCCTCTGTGCTGTGACAGACACCGAAGGTGCTGTGCCTCAGGAGCCAGAACTGCAAACGGGGGCACATCGCACCCACTTTCAGTTGTCCTCTGTTCCCTGCTGGGGGCAGAGTTGGTCTTCCAACCAAGTGGACAGACCTTACTCCTGGTCACTCAAGTCGTCCACTTGCAGACACCAGAGGGCGCTGTGGCTTAACTATAGCCGTTTGCTCCTGGAAAGGCTATTAACATTTTTAGGAACATCAGGTGGTGGGGTGAATGGTGGTGGTGCCAGTATTACTAATATGGGAAGATGTTGCATTGTGTGTAACCTTGGTAAGTTCCTCTGGAAGTCTGTCGCTTCCACCTTTCTTTAATTCTAGGAAACACTCCCCTTCTAGTCTCTGACAACGCAGCTGCTGGTAGTTCCCCTTCAGCTCTGGTTCCTGGCAGCAGCCCCTGGACGCTGGCCTTCGGGTCTGTCCTTGGCTTAAGGAGCCTCGGGATGGCCCCCAGGGGCTCTGCCCTCACATATCTGACGGGTGCGATGGCATTAGGGTGGCCTCTAGGTGTGCTAAGCAGCACAGCTTGATTTTCTGTGACAGCTTTATGAAGATTTGGTTTATGTACCATGCAAGTCTACAGTTTGGCAGTCCGTGGAACATTCAGAAAACTGCAGCCATCAGCACAGTCTGTTTTCAGAGCATCTTATTCATCACTACAGACATTTGCTCTGTCAGTCCAGCCTCAGATTGAACGTCAAAGTGTGGTCTGCCTCTACCAACCTGTCCACCCTGACCTTGGTTTAGATGAAATCCTGTCTGCTGGAGTCCCTCGTTCACCTGTGTTGGATGAGTCAGAGCCACGGTGCCTCACACGGCCGCGGGCGTGACCTTAGCTGTAGTGGCCGGGCTCGGGGCGCTTCTCCCTCTGGCAGCAGTGAGAAATGTGGCCCAGAGCGTTCACAGACAAGGCTGGGTGTGGACGTGCGTTCTCAGTTCCCCTGGGCCCACTAGAACTGCGTGGCCTTTCGAGGAACTGACCAGCTCTTTGCCACAAGAACATGTGCTGGTTCAAACTGACCTCAGGAGGGCCACTTTTTGTTCTGATGGAAACACGAAGGCCACCAATGCCCCTTCCCTTTCCTGTCTCTCGTTTTGGAAGATGGTTTTCCACGTGCTGTAAAGGCCGTGCTTAACCATGTCATTGATTGGACAGACGCTCCACTCCCCATGCAGGCGCTACGTACACTCATGTCTTGCAAATGACTAGGGAAACGCAACTCACAGTTGCACGAATAGTCACCGAATGTGTCTCATTCTTCAATCATGTGAAGTGAAAGCTCCACCCACCCACGCACACCAGTGCTGACACTGCGCTGTTTTCACACGTGTACCTCCTCATTGATTACGGTTCTTTACCTCCATGCTGTAGACTTTGGGGCCACGTGGTGCCCTATATGCAAGCTTCTCCGTGCAGTTCTTCCCCGAGGCACAAAATCACTCTTACCTGAGAACTATTATTCAATACAGCACAGTCAACACTCGCAAGAACACCATAAGACCAGAGCTTGTCTCAGCTCAGGGCTCCTAGTGCTCAGCCTGGCACCCTAGACTGCATGGCCAGGGTTCACAGAACCCATCAAACAGCCCTGCGTACAGGAGGACTTCCCTGGCCCTCGTGCGGGAGGGCTTCCCTGGCCCTCGTGCGGGAGGACTTCCCTGGCCCTCGTGCGGGAGGACTTCCCTGGCCCTCGTGCGGGAGGGCTTCCCTGGCCCTCACAGAACAGATTGTGATGACTTACCCTCAAGGCTGGGGTGTTGACACATGACAAGCACAATATGAAAACCTTGGAAGGTTTATGACAGGGCAGTGACCCGAGCAAAGCAAAAGTCCGCAAGCAATTCAGACACCTCCCGTCCTCTAAGATGTCATCATGTTTGGATTGCCTGTGGTTGGAGCCAGAAGGAGCAAGAGGGAACCCTCATCCAGAAAGGAATACATCCCAAAGACCACCCGTGGGGTCCTGTTTCTGCTTGTCTCACCTATCGGAGAATTGTCCTTTTGTCTTTGTCAACTTACAGAAGGCGCTTCAGGAGCCATGGATTTTGTTACTCCCCGGTTACACTGATAATAAGGATGTTAGGGTTCAGTTGTGTTCTGCCAAGAAGGCGTGAACTTCTGACTCTATTACGGGACCTTGTTTGGAGAGAGGGTTTTTGCAGAGTTAAGTGAGTTAATGTCATGAGCATGAGCCCCTACCCAGGGTACCCAGTGTGCTGTAGCAGGGACATTTAGACACAGGCACCTGCAGAGGACAGAGAACAGGATGAAACGGGCATTAACCAAGGATGTCTGCAGGTTGCCGGAAGTAGGGAAAGGTCTAGAATAAATTCTCTCCTAGCGCCATCACAGACCCTGTGACTGGACTGCTGGCCTCAGAACTGCTGGCCTCTTCTTCCTCTTCTTCAGAGACAGAGCGCAGCCATGCTCTTCCAACCTTCGTTCATTGCCTAAATCCCTGCAGTTCGGAGAGCTTGACTCTTTAGCAGCTTTGTAGGCCCCACAGTCACACCTGAGTAGATACCTGTTTTTGACCACTGGGAGGCAGGAGCGATTCTACAGCATCCTCTGGCCTATGCTTTACCATTAACCCAGTCATCAGGATGACAATCCTAAAGCCTGCATCATGGCATGCACACAGAGCTTGTCCCAGTGTGTGTGTGTGTGTGTGTGTGTGTGTGTGTGTGTGTGTGTGTGTGTGTGTGTGTGCACAGAGCTTGTCCCAGGGTGTGTGTGTGTGGGTGGGTGGGTGGGTGGTAGCCTAGCAGCTAAAGTCCTCACCTTGAAAGCACCAGGATCCCATATGGGCACCGGTTCCAATCCAGTGGCCCCATTTCCCATCCAGCTGCCTGCCTGTGGCCTGAGAAAGCAGCTGAGGATGGCCCAAATCCTTGGGACCCTGCACCCAAGTGAGAGACCTGGAAGAAGATCTGAACTCCTAGCTTTGGATCAGCGCAGCTCAGAGCAGGTGTGAAACAGGTCCGTTAGGAGCCAAGGGTTTTCAGAACTACAAGATTCCAAGGCTGTGTGTGTGTGTGTGTGTGTGTGTGTGTGTGTGTGTGTGTGTGTACATTGCAATTTAAAATGGGGCAGGGCACAAGGAAGAGACTAGCCAGCTTTCAGCTTCAACTTTCTCCCTTCCATAAGAATCCAAGCTCATAATTCACAGCACCCCTGTGAGGACCAGTTCTTTTCTTGCTGAGGGCAAATGAGCAAGAAGCAAGGGCCCAGGTCATGGTACAGTCTTACTGCCCTAGGTGCTGCCTCCTGGACCTGCCACCTGGGAGCACAGGCAGGGCCTTGCAGGGGGTAGCAGTGACTGACCTGGGACGGCTGACACCTCCTCCTGACGCACCTTAAGGAACTGGCAGGCTGCAGAGATACCTGTGGAGTGTCATGTCCATCGTCGACTGTGCTGAAGAGGAGAGTACCCAAGAGATACAGCATGAGCTGGCTGTACACCCTAGGAAGGAAGTGGGAACATGGAGTAGACCTTCAGCTGACACCATTACACAGTGGAGGACCTTGAACGCTATTCTTTATTTTCATCTGGACTACAGGATGGTCCCACCCAGCTCCAGGATGGCTCAGCCTAGACCTCCTGGAAGTGCGACCTCCCATCAGGAGATGAAGTGCACCAGCTCATGTTTGCTGGCCTCACACCTTGCTTTGTCCATCAGAATGCAGCAAAGGTGACAGTGTTCTAGTGCTGAGCCCTGGACTCAAGGGGTGTCAGAAGATTCCACTCTCGGGTCTCACAAGGTCCTGTAATAAACCTGGGGCTCAGGGAGCTCCCGGGAGACTCAGCTGATGGCTGCCAAATCCTAGAGACAGAGAGCCTTGGATGGACCTGCAGAATCCAGTCAAGGGCAGGAGAACCACCCAGCTGAGCCCAGAACTATAAGCTAGATTAACAATAGCTGTTGAAAAAACTATTATACTTTGGGGTGATTTACTTCACAAAAATAGGTAAGTGGGGCAGGTCCCAGCAGTGGGCCTGGGATGGCGAGAGTGGGAACGAGAACCCCAGAAGGTATGTGCTACCTTGAGGATTCCCTGGAGACGGGGCAGGGAAGCCAAGATACCCAGAGAAGACGCAGTGGGAAGGCGTCTGAGGCACAGCTGGAAGGAATAATAATGATAACCGTGACACGTGGTTCCCTGGGAACAAATAAAACTTTAATTACAAGGAGCAGCCTTGCCAGTTACTCATTCCAAAAGCTCTCTTCTTCCAGGGAACAGGTCTTAGTCATATTACAGGGGTTGATTCCCCGTGATATAAAATCCTGATTCATGAGCATCAGGTCTCCAGGAAATTCCGCTAAGGGGAAAAGGTTTCGGTTTGTTTGGCCTGCGATGGATCTTTCTGATTTTTTTCTGGGGAAGAAGGATTTGCAATCCTTTGGTTGACACACAAAACATTTCTTGGGTTCTTCTGACTTGAAAACCACGTTCATTTTTATTTCTTGCTTTTTGGTGCTTTTGTGCTCGGCCTGCTCTTCTTCTGGCTTAACCTTGTCATTGGCTTTGTCTGGGACCGCTGGGCTGAGGACCACGCCAGCGAGTAAGGAGGAACCTCTAAGCCTTTCTGCGTAGGTTAAAAACTGCTTGTTTCTCAGGGCGCGGGCTAGCTGCATCCTCTCGATGTGCTTGTAGATGGTGAGCTTCTCGCGCTGTGGCATTTTAAACTCCTCGGGGGGCACGCTCACCTTTGCTGTCCACATTTTTTCGGAGGGTCCACATGCGGGACAAGGAATGGCGCGCTGCCTGTTGCACTCCATCGTCTGTCTGTAGCTCGGAGACTGGAGCTTCAGCTCCTTGAGCATTTTCCGTTCTTCCTCTTGCTTACGAGCCAAAAACTTTCTTGTTGCCACGGTGTGGGTGCCACCTAGACGCTGGCAACAGGAAGGGACTGTTAGAATCTCAGTGACGTGGGAGTAGGTCGTGCCCACAGAAAGCAGAAAGCAGTGGTAACAGTCGGTACCCCTCCCCCCCAACTGCTGAGCTTGTCTGAGACTCTGGGTAGGAGGACAGCAAGTACGTCTTTGGGGTCATCCAAGCTTGGGTTCAAATCCTGACCCTTGCCTTGCCCTCTATGCATTCTAAAGGTGTTGATGGATCTTTCAGAGTCATTGTGAGATGTTGACAAGACAACATACAGGCAAAATAGGAACTCACTAACTTGACAGCTGTTATCAGTTGTTTTCATTTAGCTATAACCGCTATCAGGACCTATAAGAAACAAAGTGGCTATGGAAGCCACTTGACGACTATGCCAACTTGAGTCCACTACGGGGGTGTGAGTGGTTGCTGAAGCTGTGCCTCCACTAGACGAATTCGCTGGCTTCCACAGGGTCCCTGCGAACGTACCCTTCAGATGCTTACCAGGATCTCTTTCTCCATAGAGGAAAATTTACCGAGTGAAATGCGAGGGTCTGATTGGTGGAGTTGGTTCCATAACCTGCAAGACAGAGAGGCAATTATCAGAACTCCGGGAAGGTGTTTGCTAGTTTGCTTTGCAGAGCAGGAAAGCTCACACGGGGGATTCTGTATGAGCCAGGCGCCGGCCACCAAGCAGCCACTGCCAGTGATCTCCTTAACCAGGTCTTTTTTTTCCCCCTTTATTTTTTAAAATTATATTTGTATTTAACAATTTATAGTATTCAAGTGAGATTTTACAGAACTTTGTGCACTCTAGGATAATCAAAACAGATTCATAATTCTAACAAGCCATATATTAACACTTGAGGAGTAGAACAGTCTTAGGCAGGTGCACAGAGAAATCTCCCATAACTTCGCTAGTGAGGAATAACTGACCTCTGCGTCCTGCCTGGTGAGGTCTAGGAAAAGCCAGGTCTGGAGCCTGACCAGTCAGGTCCAGGCTGAGCAATTACAGGCCGGCTGACTTCTTCCTGTCTGATCAAATCTTTCTATATTAGTCTCTCTCTGTCTAGCTGAGCTACTTTTGGAGCTCCTGAGCGACCCTGATGGTCAGTGTAAGAGAGGATGGGGAGCCAAAGTCGGAACTAAGTAAAGACCAGGGAAAGCTCTTCTCCTGAGTCCAGAAGGAAATTTACTCTTCTTCTATCTATGAGGACCACCTGGGGCTCCTGGCTGTTGTTCCAATGTCGTTAGGGTTCTGGGCTACTTCAATTCCATGTGGGAGATCTGATAGGAACTGGCTGACCGCAGAGTTCTCGGCCTATGAGGGCACTCCAGTTCTCCCTGGTCTTGAAGCACAGGTCACACTCACCTCAGATGCAAAGTAGGATGCAGGTCATTTGGGCAATACAGGGAGTCTTCATCCTGATGGGGACCGGAGCTGGCGGTGCGCGTTTTGACTGGCCTTCCAGCCTTCTGGGGGACAGTCCCTTCTACACTCTTCCTTTCTGGCAGCCCTACATCTCCAGGCCTCGGTTTCTCAGGCTGACCGCCATCCTCCCACTCTCTGATCATTCTGACAGGAGGTGTTGATGCCCAGAGTATGTTTGCAAGAGTTTCACAGAAACCCAAGGCTCCGTCACAAACGTGGCTTGCATCATAACTGGCCTGCTTGGGAGCTATTGTGAAGTCTGAGTTTAAGGCATCACATGATGCCCGGGGTGAAAATGAGGTGCACTACCTCATCCTAGCTTCCTGGCTCATTGTCAGAGAACAGCCAGAAAGTGTGGCTGGGAGGTCACTAAATCAGCTGCAGCCGCACAAGCCCACCAGGACTACTCCAGGGTTTGCTTGTTTGTTCTTGGTTTTCTTTGTTAATGATTTATTTGTTTGTTGAAAGGCAAACTCATAGAGAGACAGAGGATCTTCTACCTACTAATTTACTCCCAAATGGCCACAAAAACTGGAGTGGGGATGGTCCAAAACCAAGGGATTTTTCCTAGTGGGAAACTCGAATGTCTAGAAGCAATGATGTGGTCGGAGTTGTGGGCACTCACACAGCAGGATAGGAACACAGCGGTCATAAAAAATCAGGGAAGGAAAATCTTTGTTTAAATGGAAATAGTTTCAGAAGACAGCGTGAGATGCAAAAAGCAAGACTCATAAAATCTGTAACTCGTAGACTACTTTTTTGTGTTGAGAAAGGCGTAAGAATTTGTACTTGAATAAAGTGAATCTAAACTATGCACAGGGAACTGCAAACTACAGCATGTGGTAGTGTAAGTCTGGAGTTCATGTTCAGAACCAGAAATACAGAATAGAGTTCAGCTTAAAACAAGCTTTAGTGCGAGTGCTCCCCGGCAGGGTTCACTGGTCCGGAAGAGACAGCGGGCCAGGGAAATCCTGCCCAGGGGATGTGAGGGCTTGCTTGCTTGCTTGCTTAGTTGCTTGCTTGCTTGCTTTCTCTCTCTTTCTCTTTCTTTCTTTTTCTTTTTTTCTTTCTCTTTTTTTCGTTCTTTTTTGAAAGTCAAGTATACAGAAAGGAGGAGACACAGAGAGGAAGATGTTCCATCCACTGATTCATTTCCCAAGTGCCTGCAATGGCCAGAGCTGAGCCGATCCAAAGCCAGGAGCCCGGAGCTCTTTCTGGTCTCCCACGTGGATACAGGGTCCCAAGACTTTGGGCCGTCCTCGATTGCTTTCCCAGGCCACAAGCAGGGAGCTGGATGGGAAGTGGGACTGCTGGGATTGGCGCCCCTATGGGATCCCGGCACGTGCAAGGTGAGGACTTCAGCCATTAGGCTATGGCATGGGGGCTGAAGGGTTAAGTTTTTAATGATGAACTTAAGCATATTTAGAATCTTGAGCTACCAAGCTTTACCTTTTACACATAGTTTTGCCCGTTTTGGAATGATAGATTGGGAGATTTGAACAACACGTGTTCATTAATGTCTACCTCCCCTGCGCCTTCACAGGCTTCAAAGAAAAATTCTTTCTTTTTTTTTTTAACTTTTCTTTCACTTTGCCCCATTGATTTTCCCAGCTGCTGAGCTTGCTCGTGCTGTGACTAAACTTATCTGTCCTTGCTTGTTTGCCCTTAAGCTGGTCCTGATTTAAGGAGCATCCTTAGGATTAAGAACGTGCTTGGCTACTGAGTGTGTGTTCAGGGAAGGGACTTCCAGGTGAGGGTGCTCTGAGCAGCTTCGTTTTATCAAATGAATTTTATTTTATTTTATTTTATTAAATCATTTTATTTCCCACCCCTGAGCGTGTTCGTATTTATATGTTGTTTATATTCACAATATTCTCCTATATCACTCTTCAAAAACTGATTTTTTCTCTTTTTTGATTTTCCACTATCATTGAATTAGTTTCCAGTCTCTTCTACTTCCCAATTAGTTTTATAATGGTTAACAAAAGTGCGTGTGTCTTTGTAATCCATAAATATGTACAACTAAAAATGAGTTGAAGGCCTTGCGCGATAGCCTAGTGACTGAAGTTCTCACCTTGCATGTGCCAGGATCCCATATGGGCATTGCTTGTTTTCCAGCAGCCCCGCTTTCCTTCCAGCTCCCTGCTTGGGGCCTGTGGAAGCAGTCAAGGACAGCCCAAGGTCTTGGGACTCTGCACCCATGTAAGGGACCCAGAAGAGGCTTCTGGCTCCTGGCTTTGGATTGGCTAAGTTCTGATTGTTGCAGCCGCTTGGAGAGTGAATCAGTGGATGGAGGATATTCCTCTTTGTCTCTTCTCCTCTCTTTTTATTTGACTTTCAAAAAAAAAAGTCTTTAGAAAAATGAGTTGAACAGAATCTGAAGCCAAGATACACATAAACTTCCTGTGTGTGTGTGTGTGCGTATGTGTATGAGGTGGCTTCATTTGACTGTCTGATTGTATACACCACTGTAGAGTGGTGTGTGTCTGCTTTACCCACAAGTTGGGGACTGCTCTGTTCCTTTCCACTTGTCCCTACAGGCCCCTCACCGCTGCCCCTGCAGGTTGCTGGCTTTCTCTGGTGAATCTTACAGCCCATTAAAGGGGGACCCTTGGAAGACCCTCACTTTATCTTTCCTTCTCCCAGGCTGAGTCTCTGTGTAGACAACCCTGAGTTGGGGGATAGCACCTTCCTGGCATTGCATAACATCCAGACCTTATAGGAGGAACTGTGTACTTTCAAACCCAAGTCATCCCTGCAAAACCGCTGGCTCTGGCGTCTCCGGGTCAGCGTCTCCAGGTCATCATCCATAGGTCAGCATCTGTTTACAGGCATTAGCATGCATGGCAGTGTCTTGGAGATCTTTTGCGAAAGCAGGGTCTGAGTTTGTCGTTCTGGTTGAAGTTGGGACTCTATGTGTGGGGCTTCTTGACAAGAGATTCTTAACCACAACCAGCAACAACCCCCAAGGAATGGAGCCTCAGGCTCTGGCTGGAACTACTAGGCTCACAGTCTGTGTTCTAGCCAAGTCAGTGGCACACGTGGTCCAAAAAGAGACAGGGGAGCACTCGGCGCAGTGAGGAGTGGCTGCGAGGAATCCGATCCTCACAGCCTCCCTGTGGCTGGCCATGGGGACATCCAGGGTTCCATGTTGCTGCCCGTCAGCCTGCCACAGTCATGCTGGCTTTCCAGGCGTGGCCTCCTCCCTCAGGTCCATCTACCGGTCCATGGGAGCTGAGCTTCCTCAGGGCCTTCCTTCCATCAGAAGGCAGAGGAGACACGGCTGGGGTGAGGCAGCTTCGCTTGGGTGCCTGAGAGTGTGGTCAGTGTGGTCAGTGTGGCCATTGGGCAGGTCCACCCGGGAAATAGAGACAGCCATTCCCATGTAGGTTCCTGCAACAAGTTGCTGGCCTGCTCAGAAGTCAGACGTGCCATCTCTGATTCTGTTTTCTGACTCTCTGAAGGGAGATGCTTTAATCAGTAAATTATGGACCTGGAGGGAAGAGGCAATGAAACGACAAGGTCAGGCCCATTCGGTGATATCCCTGTCTGCAGAAGTGCCATTCTTCCCACTTCAATTTCTGCCTGGCTCTCTCTGTGACAGGGTGCATCCTGCTGAAGAACTATACCCAACAGACACTAGGGGGAATGGGGCAGATCTTCACCAGCCCTTCCCCAACTCACTAAATGGCAACCACCACCCCACACCACATTCCCCTTCTAGAAGGAGACCCAGAGAACACCCAGCTGCATGAGGCTGGTGCTGCCTGCTTCAGTCTATGGCTGGGATAAACCGGGGCTAGCCACCAGAGGGCTTCCCAGAACAACCAGGCTGGGGATCTTGTTACCCTCCCACTGGCTAAGCAAAGGTGACTTAGCAGCTCTGAGACTTCATCAGATTATAAAGGAAGGGTGTTAACTGTGGCTTCCCTTATCTCTAAATAACAACGTCCTGAATTAGCCTGGAAGGAAGATGGCGCCAGGCAAAGCCAACCATGATTCTACTGCTCCCACCACAAACCAGACGAAGCAGAAAATGAGGATGGGGGCAGCCTTCCTGTACTTGAACAGCCCTTCCTAAATGTCAGTCCTTGTGAAACCTGGATGTAAATCAAACAGCAGGGAAGATGCTTTCCCAGGACCGTGCCAAGTCAAGATTGTAGCTTGTGGTAGTGGTCTGCCTGCCAGGAGGGAAATGGTGGGAAGGTTCTAGAAAAGGATGGGGTTAGCAGGAGCCAGACTCCACTCTTGCCTTACAGCGCCTGGGCCCCATTGACCACGCCATTCAGCTCTGTCCCGTTTGCTGGAACTCCATGTGGGAGCCCAGGACAAGCCTACATTCATGCGTGCACGCATATGCTCACTTGAGTAGTTCCATGAGCTTACCGCTTTGCAAGATGTGGGAGCTGCAGAGCTGAGACAGGCGAACCCATGAAGTGGGCGAGGCAGGCGTAGAGGGTCAGTTTGCGCCACCAGGCATGTTGCACGTTGCAGAAAAGGGTCCTCTGGCAGCTTCCAGCAGTCAGGGGTTCAGAGAAGCCTCTCTGTCAGGGAGCACTGGGGAGTTCAAGAACAGGACATCCATGTCTACCGGCCTGACCAGCCTCCACACACTTCCTTGGGAAAAGACAGGTGGACAGAGGGTGAAGACATTTTCCGTGGGTGGGCAGTGATGATCTCTGCAGGCACAAATGAGGCCCCTGAAAGGCTTCTGCCTGCTTCTCTTCACTGTCTCCACTTCAGAGTTCAGTGGGGATGTGTCAACGCCACCATGCAATAGATGTCATTTTGAAGGTGAGAAGATGGCTCTGGTTTGTGGTGATGGCGTTTCTGCTTGGGGAGTGCAGACTCCCTGCTGCATCAGTGGACGGAGGAAACTTGCTTGTGGCTTAGCCGAGGGCTGGAGTCCAGGAGACCCAGATCTGCCCCGCTCAGCACAAGCCTCGTGAAGATTTCTTTCTCACAAGCCCCGACCCTGTGATGGTTTTTTAAACGCATTAATAGGATGAATACCACTAGATACATTCTTCAATGCAATAAAAGCAAAGTGGCATCCGGAGAGAAGCGACAGAAGAGGACTTTAGAAAAGATATATATTTATCAGACGTACCATTTAGGACATCTAGCTTTTGCTACTCAGTGAAAAGAGATAAACCGTAGAGATAATTCAGGAGATCGTGTCCAGCTTCACCCCCCGTTT